GATAACTCGAGTAAAAATTGAGATATCTTAACGAAACTTGGTACGTGGACTTCTTTTGGGCATAGGACGGACGGTATTGAAAATGGGCGAAATCGGACAATAACCACGCCTACCTCCCATATAACGGTAATTTTCAGAAATACGAAAAGTGCGATATTTTAGTAACTACTGAAGATAATTCACTCAAAATTGATATTTACAATGAGTTTTAGACGAAAAATAAGAATATTAAAAAATTTTGGCAAATGGGCGTAGCCACGCCTACTTATGGTTACATGTGTATATTATGGTAACCGCTGCACCAATTTCTTCCAAACTTGGCACAGTTGTTGGTCCTGCTACAACATACCAAATGGCCGAACAATAACCACGCCCACATCCCATATAACGGTAATTTAGAAAAATACGAAATCCTCGATAAATCAGTAAATATTAAAGCTAATTTATTCAAAATTGATGGTTGCAACAATTTTTTACCAAGAAATACGCTTATGATACAATTTTGGAAAATGGGCGTGGCACCGCCCACTTATGATCACATATATGTATCTCGCTAACCGTTCTAGCAATTTGAACCAAACTCGGTATGGTTATTGTGCTTGCCACATAAAAGCAAAACGTTGAAAATTATTGAAATCGGACTAAAATTACGACCGCTTTTCATATAAGGGTATATTTCAGAAATGCTTGAAACTGCAATATTTCGAAATTTAAGGACTCTAATTTACTCAAAATTTATACACCCCGGCTTATCGTGTAGCGGTAGCTTTCGGAAAGGTGGAAAACATATATTTAATAATTGCGCCGGGTATTTAATGTTCGGCTCCGCCCGAACTTAGACTTTCTTACTTGTTTTTTGATGAAAATGATCGTTTTTGCACTTGCAATTTTTCAATTAACACTACAAAAAGGTTAAGTTAAAATTTCCATATATATATATTTCTATGTATATCCCACTGACAAAAAGTAAGTAATATTAATATCGCGCTTTTTATAATTTTTTTTTTACACGCTGCATGCTATTGAACGGCTACATAACAGCAACTTTTTCAGGTGAGGCATGCAATGCACATACATACATACACATGTGCCTTACATATATATATATGCATGTGGATGGATGCATTGTTACTCTACTTATACCTACGTGTGGGCCATAGGTTGCTACAATCGCCCCTACCTAGCCCACGGTTGCTACACATCGGCATCTGGCAACAAAGGTCCACTTGAAATTCAGGCACTTTATCAACTTCAACGGGGTTTCCTCCACTCCGCTTGTTTGGCTTAATGTCAATAGCCCGCGCTACACTGCATTCGACAACGCCATGGCTGGATAGGGACTTGGGGGCAAGAGTTCAAGTGTGTGTGCTCAAGTATTTTGCCGTTCACTTTATCTACATACATG